CATATTAATATAATTTCCCTTAAATTTTATCTGAACCTGGAGCTTTCCTATTTTTAAGATTGCTGATAGCTTTTACAAGTTCATTGTTGCTTATTTCCCTGTTATAATCATCATCAAAATTCATGATGATCAAACCAATCCGTTATATTTATATTACATGGAGTATGTTGATACCAACGACATCTAATTTTTCGCCAAAAATGTTTTCCTTCTTGTTTTACTAAATTATCTAGATAACTTACAGTCTGTTTTCTAAATGTGATCTGTTTTTCTCTCCGTATAGCCTTATTCTTATGTCTTACTGATATATAAATGTAAATGTGAAACAAAACTACTTATTTCCTTTCTAACTAAAACAATAATTCCTCCGGCATATCTGCCCATATTAACTTTGTCTGTGAATTTCAATGCTGGCTGCATATACACAACAAAGTTTTCAAAATAATGAGTCAAGTCAAAGTCATGTAACCATGTTTCCATCAAACCAGTCACATCGTATGATTTAACATATTGCATTAAGTCAGAATCATCTAAGAGTGACACAAGTCCTTCAACATTCCAAAATCCATACTAAATGTGAGTTTTTGATTGTTTATTTACAGGGGTGACATATTCACGCTCACTTGTGGCCCGGCCGAGACCCTATCTATGTGGAGCGCCCTGCAATCCTAGAGCCTCACTAGCGCCCCCCGATATCCTTGAACCCCGTATAGACTTGCTCCTAGTCTCCACACCACTATGGAGACTCCCCATTGGAGGCTCATAGAGCTCGTCGATGTAGAGTTTACCATTTACGTAGTAGCCCCTTTGACCCTGTTGCCTTAAAGATGCCAGTTTCTCTCTTTGTCTTTTGGTTAGGTCACCCTTTGTCTTGAATTCATCACGTGCCCCTCTGATTGAAACTTGGTCCTCAAAATGAAAGAACATAGCAATGATTGGTCTATTCTTTCCGGCAACACTTTTGCCTAATCTGTGCGCGCGATGTAAGTCCTTGGGCGTCAATTTGGCTTCTGGCATAACATTGTTTAATAATGTCGAGCAATAGATACTTTGCCTTGAACGAATTTTCTTCTGTTTCCTCGTTGATATCATAAAATATCAAGTTATCACGCCGACTGTTAATTTCTAACTTGTCTAACTCTTCTTCAAAAGAATTAACAGTTGCCTCCGATTCTTCTGCACACACCTCTGTGTCTGTAACCTTGTCCGACAACGCTGACATGTCTTTGATCGTGCGAATCTCCTCCATTAAACAGTCGATGCTACTATGAGCGCCTTTAAGTTCTTGTTTCATGTCGGATAGTTCGGTTTTTAAATCACATCTTAAGGATTTCAACTCGTCCATTATCGAATCTAATGTCAGCGGCCCTGGGTTACGTTCAACGTCCCCGGATAACAATAACAGTTCCCTGTTTATGTTTACGTTGACTCCACACAACAAAGTCGAAAAGTGGGTCAGTGTTACGCAGGTGGTCATGCTGCACGAGAAGTTCGGACCATCACTAAGCATGGCATGTGTTAGTTTCATGCCAAACTAAATCACTCCTTTGTAGATTGTTACAAAGGATAATGCACTAGAGCATGCTGCTGTGGCCATTGCTAGTAAGAATTCTGCCTTCCTGATCACAAAAGATTTCAGAAGTCTATTCAGAACTGGGTCATTTACTATCAATAGTCTGTTGTGTAGGAGAACTGAAGTTAATATAGACCTGTATCCTTCAACGGTGCCATGACAGAATTGCTATCCTGGCAGAGATACACCAAATAAATCCGCTACCATAATATGGTTATAGGTCTAGACTGCAATTCTTCGCCACTGACAGAACTTTTCGAATCTGTTGTCGTAAATGGCTGAAGAAGATGGTCTCCGAGGTCTTGAGATCTGTCCAATCCATTGATTATGCATCTATCTGGTATGGGACTGACATACCCTGGTATTTTGTTGAGACAAGTGGCAAATAGATCAAGGTGAGGACTGTCCCATACTGTTGTTATCCAGTGGAATAGCAGCTATCCTCCCTTGGCATCTGCGAAGATGTTGCGTTTCCCCTTGGAATATGCCGTGGCCGGCATCCTGCAGCTGACTGAGTCTAAGGCCCACCCAAAACATGGTTGTGTTTCCGGTAACACGACCGACCCATAATCTGATTTGCGATAAATGTTTTTATTACATGTGTAACCAGTTGTGAGGAAACCTTCATCTGTTTTCCACCAACAAAAAACCCGAAAATGTCACATTGCTGGAATAAAATGATCTACCGTACCCTGAAATTCAATAAAATTTACACGATAGTTTATTCGTTCACCAAATGTAGTCTATCCAAATTTTGAACAATTTCTAGTGACCAAACAGCAAGTAGTATTAAGAGTAATTCAAATGTAACTCATAAATATCATTGGGAATGAGGCACGTTATTCCCCGTTAAGTAAACAACAAGTCAAACATATCATGTCGGACATTTTAATTAAACAGAAACAGAAGACAGAAACACAAACCTCCATTGCCACACTAACCAAATCGCCCCAAAATGAAATGCGTCTATATATTCATCTAAAGTGAATAATTGACCACTTTCTGTTATTAAGTGGATAATGGAAGTTAATTCTAATATTAGCAAAGGCAATCTCCTGACCGGAGCTCTGAGGACGTCTTCGTCCCACAACGAATAAACATCAACTTCCACATGTTACCCCGTTCAACGTAGTGGTCCGTCACATCAGCATGACACGCACGAGATTTACCACAAAAAGGAACATGCGCAACGGGTGTGTTTGGGCGAGCACTTCCATGTTAATCAAGTGTATTTGGACGAGCTATACCAACCCAACCAAGAACAACTGTTTCCTTCTCTTCATACCCCCCTCCTTGACAGATTCCTGGCAACACAATAAATACAATATTATCAAAATACTAACACTTCTAGCTTTTGCAATGAATTGAAATAAAACTGTACCATACTTACAAAATGATTGAAATTATTACAATCCATTAGTCCTTGAATATCCATGAATATCCATGAATGCTTTTATCACATTTTACAATGTCACCGTTCAAGAGTCACAGTTCACAACACATTTCAGTTTCACAAAGTCACTGTTCACGACGTCAGTTGATGAAGTCATATTATCCGAAGTCACTATATCCGAAGTCACTATATCCGAAGTCACTATATCCGAAGTCACAATATCCGAAGTCACAATCCCGGATCACAGTTCACAGTTGACCATTCCAGTGGACAAATCTTGTTTGCTGCTCTAGTAATCACTGATTGTCCGATCCGTACATCCACCACACGCACATGTCCATCTCTTCCTGGGTATGTCTTGACAATTCTACCAAGTGGCCACTGTCCCCGTGGAGTGTCAGGAGATATCACCAGCACAACATCATCGATACACAGGTCTCTGCTTGGAGTTCGCCATTTCCGTCTTGGGTTCAGGCCTGGGAGCCATTCCTTCATCCAACGCTTCCAAAAGTGTCTCATAAGTTCCTGAATACGTCTCCAGCATTTTTTTGGGTGATAATCGGTTGTGTCTACGGATTCCGGAGCAAACATTCCTCCAATCTGGCCATGCAGGAAGTGATTCGGAGTCAGAGGAATCTCATCTTGGGGATGAGTCGACTGATATGTCAGAGGGCGCGAGTTGATCAGCGCTTCAGCTCCGGTGAATGCCGTTTCCAATTCCTCATCTGTGACGTCACCATTCCCCAGGATAGCGAAGATAGCACGCTTAGCCGATTTTATCATCGTCTCGAATACGCCTCCAAAATGCGGCGAGTATGGAGGGTTGAAGTGCCATTTCACTCCTCGATTGGCCATGGAACGCCGAACAGCATCTTGATCCAGCATTTGAAGAAGTTCCTTGAGTTCTTTGACGGCACCAACGAAGTTTGTTCCATTGTCAGATATGACATCTTGTGGTAGACCTCTTCGATTTACCATTCGGTAAAACGCATTTAGGAATGCGCTGGTGTCCAAGCTGTATGCCATCTCTAGGTGAACAGCTCTTGTAGTCAAACAGGTGAATAGACACAAATAACGTTTCTGACGTGATTTTCCTCTGCTTTGGACTGTTATGAAAGGTCCAGCATAGTCAACAGCAGCCTGGCTGAATGCACGGAAGGATGTTCGAAGTCTCATTTTTGGTAACGGAGCCATCATTGGATAGGCAGGTTGTGCTTTGTCCCTATGACATCGAGCACATTCTTTTTCCCATTCACGTATTGCTTCTCGTGCTGAGATAATCCAGTATTTTGATGACACTGCAGCCAGTGTTTGGTTTGTGCCCAGAACATGTTTACCATCTTCGTGATACTGTTTTATGATGAGCTTTGTCACCCAACTTCTACGAGGTAGAATTATGGGAAATCGCGCTCCAAGTGGCAAACATTCAGCATCGCCTAAGCGTCCACTCAATCTCATGACCCCATTTTCATCTAGTTGTGGCTGAAGTGTAAGGAGTTTGGAACTGGAAGCCAACATCTTACCTGACAACAAAGTTGCATATTCAATAGCAAATGCTTCCGCCTGTGCATCGGCAATGATTCTGTGCTCAGAATCTGCTATTTCCTCTACCGTCAGTTCACCTTTCATTTTGTAATCATCTGACATGGAACAGTTATGCAAGAATCTGAAAATCCAAGCATTCACACGTGTCAATTTTCTCCAGCTGGAGAATCTGGAAGGGTCAAGTCTCCACGTCTCAAGGTCAGGTTTCTGTATTGAAACTAGAGCAACCTGCTTATTGCTTGTTCTTCTTTCATCATCATTGATCATGTCAAGGGAAAATGCTTGATCAGATGGCCATTCAGTTTCATCTCTGAGCAAAAACGTAGGACCAGACCACCATAACTCATTGTGTATGAGTTGTGAAACAGACAGACCTCTTGTTAAGTTATCTGCAGGATTTTCTGCAGATGGTACGTGTCGCCATTGAGATGGATTTGTAGTGCTGTGTATTTCTCCAACTCTGTTGGCAACAAACGGTTTGAAAGTACGACTATTGTTTCTTATCCAACACAAGACATTCCTACTATCTGACCAGAAGGTAACCGTTTCAATCTCAATCTGAAGGACTTTGACCACTTCAGAGACAAGTCTGAGGCAAGTACAGCTGCCATCAGTTCAAGGCGTGGTATGCTACAGGCTTTCAACGGAGCTACACGACTCTTTGCAGCAACGATCCTGCTGGACTTCTTTCCGTCCATGTAAGTATAGACGGCGTAAACAACGGTGCCATATGCATCCTGAGAGGCATCAACAAACGTATGAATCGAGACTGAACAAACCTCAGCATCAAGGCGCAAACATCTGGGTACCTGAACACCTTGTACTTCTTTCCATTGTACTAACCATTTTTCTATTTTCTGTTGCAGGTTCTGAGGCAGTTCATCATCCCAATCGTGTCCTGTTAACCACATTTCTTGTAACATAATCTTCGCAGTGATTATAAATGGTCCTATGAATCCAAGAGGATCAAATAGTCTTCCAATTTGCCTGAGAAAACCTCTTTTAGTGGTTTCTTCTTCAGGAAATGTACCAACTTTGAATGTGAACATATCTTTTTCAGCTACCCACATTAACCCAAGTGCTTTCACTGATGGTAAATGGCCTTTACAAAGATCAATTTCAGAAGCTCTATCTTCTTCAGGTATGTTATCAAGGACATTCAGGGAATTGGACAACCATTTCCGAGCATGCATTGAAGCACTGGACCATAACCGAGTTAATTGGTTGTACAGTTCTATACCTTCATCCACATTCTCTACCGAATCCATACTGTCATCCATGTATGTGGATTTTATGACAGTTTCTGCAGCCATAGGCAGATCTACCAGATGTGCCTTAGCATGTTCCTGGGTAACATACTGAGCCAAGAAAGGAGAAGAGGTGTTACCGAATACAAGACGACTGAACTTGTATACCTCAGGAGGCATATCTGTATTCATAGATCTCCAGAGAAATCTGTGGTAAGGTCTATCTTCCGGTGATATTTTCATCTGCAAGAACATCTCTGCTATATCACAAATGAGAGCTACTGGTTTTCTCCTGAACCGTATCAGCACATCAAAGAGCTCACTATGAAGCTTCGGACCTGGACTGATTACATCATTCAATGATGTGTCCTGATACTTTGCCGAAGCGTCAAAAACAATACGGACCTTTGTTGTGGTTTTATCTGGACGCAATATCGGGAAATGAGGAAGATACCACACATCTTCCCTTGATTCCTCATGATCTACTTTATTGATATAACCTTTTTCAAGATACTGCAAGATGATATTGTCATAGGCTAGTGCCGTTTCCTGGTCTTTGGATAACTTCTTTTCAGTGCTAAGCAGCCTACGAAATGCCATGGCATAGTCATTTGGTAATGATGGAACATTCTTCCAAGGAATACCAATCTGGTATTGGCCATTCATATACACTAGTGTCTCCTGTGCTTTGTGAAGAGCTTGCTCGTCATCTGGTATAAGGCGTTTGAAAGGAGTCTTCAACTCTTCAATTTCCCAAAATGACTTCACCAATGAGCACAATTCACTGTCTTTGCTGTATGTGTGGTATGTATATGCACAGTGTGTTTGGGATGTTGCCTGACTGCTTACATTGCCTATGCATGTCCACCCAAGAGGCGTTCTCCTTGCAATAGGATCACCTACATCTCCACAAACCTCTTCGAATGACTGATGTAATTGCACATGATCAATACCTATCAGGAGATCGATAATTGGACGTCGCCCAATATGTGGAAAGCTTATGTTCTTCAAGTGACTCCATCTGTGTCTACATTTTTGCCAATCAATCATTTGCAAGTCGCCTGTGACCCTAGTAGTAGTCAGTGCTGTCATTTCCATATCCACCCTACCATCTCCACTCTCAATTCCAAATACCACTGGCTTGGTCTCAAATGTCTCTTTCTTACCGTTCAAGACACTCACAGATATTTTCTCTATTGACCCCTGCATCCCTAATTCTGAAGCTACATCAGCATTTATGTATGACCTGGTACTTGCATCATCCAATAATGCGTTAACACGGATCCTTTTAGTTCCATTCTTCAGCACTACTGGGACTGTCCGAAGTGCTGTGAACGGATGGTCAAATTCCAATGGCATAGTTGCATGTGCTCTTTCAGAAAAGCCCTGGTCATGACCTTTTGTTGGAGAACCTACCTGAGTATCCTCCTTATCCACAACAAAACTATTTTCTGCAAAATCCAGATTGCCTTGTACAATGTCAGTTCTGGGTATGTTCTCGTGTAAGAGTCTATTGTGGGTTTTCGTACACCCATTGATCCCACAGCGATATGCATATCTACATTGTGAGCCACGATGATTACCACCAAGACAGCGAAAGCATACTTTCATTTTCTTAGCAGTGTTCCATCTCTCAGAAACATTCATATTCTTGAACACATTGCATTTCCATAACACATGCTGTTCACCACAAACCTTGCATATGACCTCCCTCTTTGAATTTCTATTCAGCTGACTGACAAATGAGCATGACTCTTTTCTTTTGAATTCTAGTCTTTTGCTTTTATCAGAAACACCATGTATTGTTTCTGCAGCTATCGTTTGGTATTCAGCTTCCTGAAGTACCCATTCTCTTAGAGTCTCGACAGACTCTTGCCTATCTCTGTCATGAAGCCATCTTTGGTATTGTGCGACCATTGACTCGGTCATTTTCTTTTGTAAAGTGACATACAATAACCCATTACCAAGCTCTTCTATTCTATCTGCTTCTTTCAGACTAACGACTGCAATGTCCAAGACATCAGCAAATCTTTGAACATCTCTAGCATTCCCTTGGCGAATAGGCTTCAAATTAGTCACTTCTTCTAACTGTAACGCTACTTGACGCCTCCTACCACCATACTTCCTTTCTAGGCGCTCTAATGCAATGTCATAAGCTATAGCACTATGCCCCAAAGCTTGTACTGTTTTCAAAGCCTCACCAGAAAGATATTGCCTTAGCTGCAATAGCTTGTATTCAGCAGTTGCTGGTGCTTGGTCTATGCATGTCAGAAATGCAGCTTTCCAACTTTCATAGCATTTAACATCACCAGAAAATACTGGGATAGAAACACGCTTGAGTTGTTTCCATAGATCAGTGCCTATTGCATAACTGTGTGACTCTTTATAAGCACGTGTGTGTTCATGTGGTATGCTATGAACATCATGCCCAATGTCTTTCTGAATACATGGCTCACTTCCCGCAGCCTGTTGTTCAGGGCTATACAATCTATTGCTTCCCTTACTTGACACGGAAGTCACATCTGACCTATTATCTAAGTGAAATTGTGCCTGTTCAACTACAGCATTAGTTTCATCCTCAAGATGACTAATCTCTCCTTCAGTTTTAGCGACATTTTCACCTTGCTGATTCTTTGCAAAAGCCAGAGTGAGTTGTGTCATAACATCGATTGCTTTCACCAGACTTTCATTTACTTTATCTATACCATCTCGTATGTCTATTCGAGATGGTTGGTCAGAAGATTCTAGTAAGCTGTACAGCTTGTTTTTGTTTTTTGTAAAGGTTGATTTAACATTTGCTTTTTGTTGTTTTAGTTTCAAAATATTCTCCAGTTTTAACAGAGACCCTTCTGTTTCTTGGACCAGAGACTCATTGCTCTTTACAGAGCCTCCCTCCTGCATATACGACATAATTTATTTGACTTACCTTTTTGAAACCACGCTCTGCTACCATATGGGAATGAGGCACGTTATTCCCCGTTAAGTAAACAACAAGTCAAACATATCATGTCGGACATTTTAATTAAACAGAAACAGAAGACAGAAACACAAACCTCCATTGCCACACTAACCAAATCGCCCCAAAATGAAATGCGTCTATATATTCATCTAAAGTGAATAATTGACCACTTTCTGTTATTAAGTGGATAATGGAAGTTAATTCTAATATTAGCAAAGGCAATCTCCTGACCGGAGCTCTGAGGACGTCTTCGTCCCACAACGAATAAACATCAACTTCCACATGTTACCCCGTTCAACGTAGTGGTCCGTCACATCAGCATGACACGCACGAGATTTACCACAAAAAGGAACATATACGGACGAGCTATACCAACCCAACCAAGAACAACTGTTTCCTTCTCTTCAATCATGATAGAATTGTCAACTTGTCAACATTTTCTGGCTGCTACCAATGGCAAACACGCTGGCTTCTCTGGGGAATAAATAACTGTTGCTAATTAAACAAAAAGAGTCAACCTGAAACAATATTCATTGTATAATGAACATATGACTAACTATCACCAGTAATTAATTGAAAATTCAACAATACTTCCTTCGATACCGTATGGTACACACTACCGATGAAAATTGATGAAAGCACATTGTTTAAAACCGTATAATTTTCAAATGTAAATAATATATTTTTGGCCAGCAAACTGTAACACCATTTACAACAGTCGCTATTTTATGTCTTATCACTTTGAATATATTCATTTACAATCTAATGCATCATAATTCAAGTCACAAATAATGAAACTCAAATACATTTTCAACGGTTTGAAAAGTAAGTATTTCTGAGAATTAGCCAAATTTCATCACACTAAAAAAAATCTCATTGCTTCTGGACCAGGGGAGATTTTTCTCTCATAGGCAAAAAATTCCAGGATAATGCCTTCTACTGAAATCAACAAAGTCTGAGGTTGACCTTCTAGAGTTCATCCATGCTTGTCTGGTCTGAAATTGCAATCTTCCCTGAAATTTGAGATCTGATTGCTCTGGCTGACAGATAATTCCCCTTTTGAGTTTACATCTGGCACAAATATAGACAATATCCTGCACTGGTTTGACCCAAACTTTGTCGGTTGTATTAGGTGAGGTGGTGAGTTGAAATGGGGTTTAATGTCATGTTCAAGATTGCTGCACTTATTAAGCAATGTGCATGCACGTGTGTGTGTGGCTGCTTGTACTAGTCTGGACTAATGCCGATTATATAGTGACCACCTACTGGGACGCCATGCTGCAGCTTAAGATGAAATACCACACTCAGACACAGTATACTGACTCCAGGCCAGTCCTTGTTTCAGCCCCTTAATGTCAATCACAAGGCAGAGTACCATCTTTTTTGGTATGATGCGGTATTCCTAAACTCTAAAGAATATACATCCTGAACTACCATTACACTCCAGGGGTTGAAAAATTATTAAAAATGTTACTTGACCAAGGGCAAGTATGACCAACATTCTCACTTGCCCTATTTTAAAATGTACTAGCCCAAAATCAAGCTAATAAATTTGAACATCCATCAATAAACGTTCTCTTACGATTGCAAGCGTGTATGTTTGGGTCCTTGAAACAAATGGTGCACTTCATGACTTTCGCTGTGTCATCATACGCAACCCAAGGAAACTGGTCTTTCCACCCAGCGATGAATGTTCGTTTTCGTTTACATTCGTCATACTTCTTATTCTTTGCCGATATACAACTTTCGGAATTTCCCTCTGCCTTCGTCCCCACCGCCAAAGAAACTTAAAATAGACCGCTGAGACATGATCGGCCATGTGCGGTACTGGCAATATAAATTGTTATTGCAGATACCCCTCTGGGTGCTAATGAGGCAAAGGGAGACTACTCTGTCCTTTACTAGCTTACTTATTTGAAACAACAGATTTACTTACAGTGATCCCTCGCTATTGCACTCTTCAATATAGCGCTAACTCGGTTATTGTGTGCGGTAACACATGGTTCCCAAAACTTATATACACTTTTAGTAAACTCAAGTCACTGACACGATGTCATTTCCCCATCGCAAAAACATTACCACCTGCACGCAACACAGGAAATACCAATCAACAAATTCCGCAATTAAATCCTATTATTACTATCTGGTTATAAAAAAACACGTTTGTACCTTGACATATGTTTGTAGCATATTTTATTAATTTTATTTTAAATTTGATTCAATATAGTTTAGATCAATTTTGCCGAAATCGTGCGTAAAGGGGTCGATAGATCGCACAACTCGCCGTTATTTACAGCAACCACGGTCAGGTTATCGCTATTGACGACTCGAATGAACTTTAGTTGACAACGAAAAGAAACACCTATTAAATAAATGCCATACTTTCACTCGTTAAAAGTCCCGTTTGTTGTAGTTCGACAAAATTATATTTCATCAAAGCTAGGCCTAACGGAGCATCTAAAGTCGGAAAATGTTTCAACCTCGCGTTACAATTTCCAAGAAATTCCATTTCCAAGAAACATGTGCCATATATGGAAGTGTTACTACGATTTAACAATGAAACAAGCCTGGTTCTCGTTGTTGACCTGCCTGACATCGAAATGTATTAATCCCATTGGTTGACTGGCGTAGCTGTATGCAAATTACATTGTCAGTCTGCTAACAAAATATTAGCCAATCAAATACCATAACATGATCACATGATTACATTCGCGTGAAACTTGACCCAGTTCATTTTGGGTGCTCTACTTGTCCACGGGCATGCTAGAAAACGTATATTACACGCCCGACATCTAAACCTTACTTGGCACGGGCGTCGGGCAATGGTATTTTTCAACCCCTGCACTCCCCTACAAATAAAGCATGTAAGCTAATTTCTTAAGTCATTTGGAAATATGTCAAACAAACTCTGGTCAAAAGGATGATTGATGTTTTGTGGATCTGCAGGTTTATCCTTGTACCTGATGACTTTAAAAGAGTCCTTCCCGATCGGAACAAACTTCTTTTTTGTGGGTCCGTGAACCAGTACAAACAGAAGAAGATGATGAGGACACCATCCCAGTCTCCCTCTACTACTTACGTGAATATACTTGCAATATAACCCATTATCTCGAACCTAGCAGGACCGTGTTGTACCTTCGCGATATTCAGACTTTTGAGATAACAAGGCATGAACAAAATTTAGTAAATTGGTTTGGAAAGGAGAATAGGGTCGAAATATTGGTATGTTTGAGATTAATGGGGTTCAAGATAATAAGGTTTGACTGTATGTGGTAAACTTCCATAGAACACTGTTATATTAGCATCAAATTCCATAATTGTGACATCATCAATCAATCCTTTGCTGCCTTGACCCCATGTGACCTTCCAGACCATGACACACAAGCTCATGACACTCTGACTTTGATCACCTGCCTGATTGCATGAGCTATGAAAGAACCAAAGTGGAGTTGCCAATTCCATGTGCCTCTAACTGTCAGATATTGTAGTTTTGAGCTACCACATGCCTTTGACTTTTACATGAAATAGAGAGGCAATTGCTGAATCTCCGGTGCAGTTGTGCAGTAGAATCAGAGAGCCTGAAAAGGACAGAGATATTGATTCAGTGGTGCCAATACCATCTGACCGGGTCACTGGATGAATGGACGGTGGAACAAGATCTGAAGTAATCATGGTATCTGAACTGGTGACCATGGCACTAAAGGGCCACTTCTTTGTGCTTTGTGTTGCCCTGTTGACAAAGATAAAGATGACAAACCTAAAGTATGTGTAAGAGCTGTATATCCCTGGGAATGGATCTCAAAAGAAAGAAAGCCTGCAGAGGCCAGAGCAGGAAGAAATGCCGTCTTCCAGGACAGGTGAGCTTGGCAGATGACATCGATTCAAACAGAGCTTTGAGAAGAGTGTCCTTTCATTTCTATGTTGCTATAAAGGATTTGCTTCCACCATAGTTCACACATAAAGTGGGGAGATGTGTTGATGTTTGAGAAAGCATATGGCATGAAAACCTGCAACAATTGTAGCAGTATGCTTGTAAATAGAATATTGTTAGATTTTAAAGTATCATTATAGTAACCAAACATGAATTAAATTAATAAGCTAACCTAAATATTTAACATTTATTTTCCTAAATACTTGTGTTAACTTCAGCACTTGCACAAAACTACTAATTCACAGGTAAGCTTGGGTAGTTCAACCATTTCGTTCTTAGGTTCATGGCTATTGTCACTGGGTCAGTCACAGGCTTGGCCTGTGATTAGGTGCTCTTTGTTATCAAGCTTTTTGCATGTTCTCTGCAATCATGTGGATACCCTGATAACAAATTCTACTGGTCAGTCAGCACATATTTCTCAGCATGTTCTCTACACTGAATCATATAGGGTAAGTTCATTTGATTATTACTTTATTTATCTGGAAGCTTAGGTTACTATGTATTTTAAGCATTGTTGTTGGATATAGTATTTTAGCTAGCATTGTATTATGACATTGTAATGTATTCTTAATTCAGCTTAACTGTGTATTTGACTGAGGTAATAGCCAAGTGTACATTTTATAAAATAGATATAAACTGGTTAGAAGTGATATATGTATATGTATCATGTATATATGTATAGGATTTTGTAGAATTTATAATGCTTGTATTCGATGCATGCTAGTGTAACTGTGGCTATGTAATATATTTATATGTAGTATACTTATTTGTGCAGGGCTATTCACTGCACGTCTGTCTATAAGAGAGGTTCCAGCCTGCGTCCCTGAGACGAGGTATGCTATTTATGTTTTATTAATTATGCATGATTAACTATATATAGAGTGTAATTTGTTTTATCTGGAAGGATTTGTTCATATATATATGCCAAAAGTAAGGAACTATAGATCTAAATGTTTTATTAGTATTGTTTTTATCTAGTGCCTTTATACTGTCCATACCCATGATATTTATATCAAATTATGTACCGGTATGTTTTAGGGCAGATCCGGACTACCGTGTAGTTCTCACTCTACGCCCATTGAAAATAAATCCTGTTTGACCCAACAAGTACTCCCTTATCTTTGAGAGGACCAGAGTACCGCTGTTGCAATGGCATCCCTGGTGGGATGTTGATTTTGAATGGAGCCAGGAGAGTGAGAGGAACATCATGAGCAGCCCCTGCAGTGACAGTGTATGAAGTTGTGCCCGACACTATTATAAAGTGAACATGTGTAAATATGTGTACATGAACTCTCCCTACTTGTGATCAGAGACACTTGCGTCTGTATACAGGCTATTGACACTGGATATCCTTAATATTTACAGCTGTATTTCATATTTTTCATAATTCTTTGGTGCCATTATTGTTTAACAGACATGCTGGTGTTGTTTTTTTCCCCCATGTTGTTTATTTGAGCACGAGAGCATGTTTTTTTGCAGCCATATTGAGCTCTGCTGTGGTGATTGTACATAATTAGTATTATGGGCCCTTAGTTTAGTTTGT